GCAAAGGCGAGACAATGAGTGCACATAAAAATAATAATTGGAAATGAAAACAGAATTTTCATGGCCGATGCCCAATGAAATGGCAAAATATAATAATAATAAAAAGAAAAGCGAGGCGACTGACTGGACAGGTGCACAATAAATAAATTGTGGCTCTGCTCGTTTGACCTTTTGAGGAATATCTGTGTGCAATTATCGCGTCTTTGCTAGCTGAAAATTGACTCCGGAGCCAATACAGCTAAAGGCCAAACGAAGCCAAATGGCAGATGGCAGATGTCGGCCATGCAGATGGGCTAATGTCGTTGGCCATACGGAAATGGAAGTTGAAGCCAGTCAAGCCTTAAATGCGCTTATCATTACATGGCACACACACGCACGCACGCACGCACGCACGAACGCATGCCCTCACTCACGGAAGCCACTTGCCACTTTTTAGCGGATCACGAGTGCCTTTTGCGTTCTTTGCATATGCATGAGCACCACGCGGCGTATGCGCAACGACGGCAAACAGCACTCAGAAGGAGCAGGAGCAGCGCTTGTAACAATTACCGAATGACTGCGGCTATGGAAACAATGCCTGGCGGCAATAAAAACGCAAAGCTATAAAATGAATTTTTATGTCGCATTTTCGCAATGCCTGCAGCATTGCGCCCATAAGTATGCTACCTTTTTCCTTTCCTTTTGTATTTGGAAACAGGAAACACGCAGCGGCAGCAGCAGCAGCCGAAAAACAAGTTTACAAGTCGTGTGCAGGGGCGAGCATATTCGCTGCAATTGTCAGTTCGTGGCGCCAATTTATCGATAACAACTCACTTGGCCTAGCTGAATAATGGTAGTGCTGCGAGTGTATTGAGGAATCCATTAAAACTGCTGATGAGAGACTCTTTCATAGTCGTAGATCAAGTGAGAAATAAGTATCGAATTTGTATGAATGCTGTTTGACGCTCTTGAGATGTAGACTTGGCTCGTCTTAACTAGTGTTAGATACGCCCACCGGGAGCATGGGCAGTTGGGAATTACATTTTATACATTTATTATCTCTTTCTATCTATGTGTCTAAATATATCTAAGTCTCTATATATTTTTTCTCGCTTTCTGCTTATCTCTCTCTCTCTCTATTAATCGCTCTCTCTCTCTCTTTTGATCTATCTGTCGCTCCATCTTTCCATCTCTTATCTCGAGTTTCAGAGACTTTAAAGTTGGGTCTTTCTTTAGAGTGTTTAGTATACGCTCTATTATATTGTAAGCTTGATTGGAGACAGAGTCTTAGCACATAATAAATACACCAGCCTAGATCAGTTTCATTCAAAACTATCAAAACATATCAAACTACGAATCACACATTCTGTTGACCATCTGCACAGATAGGCCTATGCTGCGAATAGATTTATCTTTGAATAAATTCTGCCGCTTTTGGCGCATAAATATTATTGCACGTTAGAGCAATCGTTAGTCGAGGTGGGGCTGCTTTGTTTGCATTTTCTTTTTATTGTTTGGTTCTTTAGGCTAAGGGCTAAAAATATGCCTCTGTTTGTGACCTGCTCACGTATGCAGCTGCAGCTGCAGCTTGCAGCCATTGGGCAGGAGGATACAAGGGGGGGGGGGGTGCTGGGGCACTGGCGTGACCAGGAACACAAAATGCCGAGGTGGACGTGCACACATTTACACATGTAGTGCATAAAATGTTTATGAATTTCAGTTTATGGCGCGTAAAACACGCCAATAAATGTTCCAAGGCATTTAAATGCTTTTGCTTTGGCAGCTGGAACTCTTTTGCACCCGCAGCTCCGGCTCCAAACGCGCAGCGTCCCTTTGCCCAGTCGACGTCGGTGTCTGCGTTGTGTGTCGCAATAATAAACAATCAGAAATGGCATAAAGTATGCAGAATCAGCGACGCCTTTGCCCCTCCTGCCCTCCTGGCCACCTTCCTTTCCCTTCTTAGCGTCCCCGGAGGTGTAAGTCGTTCATAGTGGTTGCTTCTCTGCTGCCCGCTGGTGGTGGTGCAGACACCGGTGGCTCTTGTGGGCGCATGAATATTTATGCATAGCATTTCTTTACCAGCTTTCAAGGGCAGGCACTGAATTGCTTTTGTTTCACTTGCTGATTTCCTGCTTTTTCTTTTCTTCTGCAGCGTGTAAATGTTTGTGTCCATATGTGTGTGTGTGTGTGTGCGTGTGTGCGTGCTGTGCCAAGTGCGCTCTAATGCACTTTACGACACTTTATGGCTGCTGCGGTGTCGCCGACGCTATATAAAGAACACGACAGTTATGCTCGGTTAAGGAAGCCAACAAGACATAAGACATAAGCATAGGTTATGCTAAATTGATGCAACTACACATCTGCATAAATATGAATAACTATATACAACATATATGCACCATATGTTTACGATAACTGCTCTGATCAGAGCTTAACAGTTCATAACTTGCCTGGCCACAGATTAGTCGAGCAGCACTGGCAGTCGGTAGAGGTCGACAGCGGTGAATAAACTATTAAGGCAGCTTTAACTAGAGTTGAGGAGAAGCTGCAGGACAAAACATAACTGGCATAAGTTATTAAATGAATGAAGTAATTGGAATCTGCAAGGAAACATCAAAGGTTATTATCTTAATACTTGTCTTCTATGCCTTCGCTGTAAAACACTTCTTCACTTTGTACTAGACTCCACCTGGAATGAGAAGAGTCTAAACTTAATTTTTTTGCTGCTGGTCTGGCTATCCATAGCATCACTAATCAGTTGTTGGCTGGGCTGATTGAATTGAAATTAAATTTTAGTTTATTAGGCAGCTACAGTTGCTAAGCAGTTGCCACATATTTTGTTCGCTTTTGGCTGGGGCCGTGTCAGGTGACAGGTGGACGCGACACCTGCCGTTTGACCCACATCGGTGACTCGTTTTAAAATGCGGCTAGTGGCGCCATAAAGCATGACCCAATTGAATTGTTACGCTCTGGCTAATAAAATTTTATGTGCGGCTATTATTAGGCTCTAGTGCTGGCAGTGCCCAGTCGCTCCATTCCAATTGGGGCTGGGCAAACAATTGGTGGGGCGACCACAGCAGCAGCAGCAACAATAACAAAACATTGTCATTTGCTGGATGCCACCAGGGGCACCTTCTGAACCAGCGTCGCCCTTTAGTACTTTCTTTTTTTTTTTGTGGGAACTCGTATCCGTATACCCCGAATCCGAATTCGAATTCAGAGCCGCATCCGCATCGGCAGCTGTATATATATATATATGTATGTATATACGTATTTTGTTTTGTTTCTCGTTTGGCTTTTGAGCCGAAACTAATTTATTTCCTGTATTGATTTTGCGCTCAGTCGAGTTGGCGTCCAAAATTTATGCATAACTTTGTCCTCGTCGTCGTCGTCGTCGCTTTTGTTGCTTTGATATCAGACACTTTGATTACACGCCTCAACTGTGCGTTCCTCAAGGATAGAACAGGAAGGGCAGGATGGGCAGCATGTCTGTTGTCTGTTGTCTGTTGACTGTTGTCTGTTGTCTGTTGTCTGTGTCTCTGGTGGTTGTGTGGTTGTGTGGTTGTCGGTGTGGGTGCATGTTTTTCGCATTTTTTGCGCTTCACTTGCTTTCGAAAGCGGCTCGTGGCGTTAAGTACTCGCACAATTTCCATAGCACCAGACAAATAGGCGCACAATCCATTTCGATAACTAAAACCGCTCTCAGCTGACCACAGCTCAACCGGCGCTAAGCTAAAAAACAGAAAAGACTCAATCGAAAGTCAAGTGGAAGCCAAATGTGTCTACTTTATATTTATATTTATTTATTTATATTTATTTATTAATGTATGTACGCTGCAGATGGCATCAGGCGCTGATGTATTCATATAAATGATTACCGAAGTGATGTAATACAATTTAATAATAAAAGCAGAAAATAAATTTTTTTTATTGGCTTCTGTAAATTATGAAAATAATTTATTGCATGCACCTTAAGCATCAAATAACTTCAAAGCTTCTAGATGGTGAGCTTATATATATATATATATATATATATATATATATATATATATATAGATATATATACATCTTTATTTATAGTAATTTTTTTGTTGTTTATATGTCATTTATTTATATACATAAACTGTTAAATTTTCAAGAGTATTTAAGCTCATCTTACACAAAGCCAATTTTTATTTATTTTCCGTTTTCTTTATTCAAATTTTGCTGGCCTTCATTAGCAACTGTCTTTCATGACATCAGGAGGCGTTGCAGGATGGCAGCTAATTACAACAAGGACTAACAATATGTATGAGAAATATAATACGACGTCGCCCTGGGAGGCAGGTCTAGTGCGTCTAATCATTTTAGTTGACGCACACGTGCCTTGCTGTCTGATAGGTTGACAGCCAGGTAATTTTGATGATTTTCCAGTCTGCTTAAGTGTGTATTGAAGTGTTTGAAGATTTGTTTGACGACTCTTGATATGTTTAGCTCTCTGCCTATGTCCAGCTTCAGTCCTTAGTCTTTATATGCATATTAAATAACATGAGCAGTAAGTAAAGTAAAGTAATTTAAGTGCACCATCACCATTTTCCATTTTCTTTTGGTATTTGTTTTGGGTAAATTGAAAGCTGAATTGAAAAGCCTTTTTACGAAAATATTGAATCTGGCAAACTTGTAGAAGAATTTTGGGGATTTGGCAGAAAAGTACTTACAGAAAATTGAGCGAAAAGCTGAGCAAATACCCTTGACTAGCGCTTTAAATACTCAGTCACTTCAGACCTGTTGAACGACAAACAAACACTGAATAAGACTGAACATAATAATGACAAAAATGGAGATAGTTTCAAGAACTAAGCCGCAACAAGCAAATTGATGTAAGCCACAAAAAAAATAAAAAAAAAAACAGTTTAAATTTAATGTGAATCTTCCTATAAAATAGATATAAAATTCCAGTTTCGTTTGCCTTTTTTTTTTGTTGCTCTTTGCTTAATGTATTTGAAGTCTGTAACATTTCGCATAAATGCTTTCCATTACAGTTACGGCTGGAAGCGCAGGTGTGGAGCCGTGGACCCAGCAGGTGCTGATGGCACACAGAGACAACGGGGACTGTCGCTGGCAGCAGCAACGCAAAATGAGGAGTCATAGCAGATGGTCATGTGGAATTGTGCCCCAGCTTAGCTGCTGGCTGCTAATGCTGCTAATTGCTGGCCAGACTGTTTATGGTAAGTGTGCTATACACAACTACAGCCTTGATTCTTATCAGCAGTCACAGCACACACACACATACACATACTCACAGCCATATATATATATATATACACAGATTCACAGACCAACAATTGAGATAAGTGGCTCTCGAGTGAAGCCAAAAGTGAATGTGTCGAATATAAAACATTCCATTGCTGCTGCCCGCTTGACCTCATTAGCCTTTCATTTATCCTCTTTATTTATGCAACTACACACCCGCACTGCGAGCTTTCTGTGCTGTTCTATGCCACATGCCTGATGTCTCCAATTGCCACAAGCGAAGCAGAAGACAAAAATACAGGCAAGCGTTTGTGTTTGAGGTTTTCGTTTCGGCTTGGCATCCAAAAAATAGCGCTCAAATGGCCGTGGCGGCGCTCTATTTATGGCATGCTGAATGGTAGCATAAAGAAATCGGCCGAACACGTACACACATACACATTCATACTGTAGAGGAAGAGAGAGAGAGAGAGAGAGGGAGATGACGAGAGTGAGAGTGAGTCAAAGGGAAAGAAAAACTTGGTATACTTATTTTCTTGCTGGCCTGTAATTAATTGACTCGCATTTTCGCATCGAACATAAAAACAACTCAAAACTTTTGCCAACAACTTTTTTGTTTACGTGTGTGCGTGCTTCAGTGTGTGTGTGCGTGACTGAACTGGCTAACAATTGCATTCACTGCAGTCAAGGTCACGCGGCAAAGTAAAACTTTTCCGCTTGCCAAATTGTCGCATGTGGCAAGCAGCCAAGTTATTTGGCCAAACGTTATAGCCAAACATAGCTATATATATGCTATATATAAAGTAAGTTGTATATAAATATATGCGTCTGTATTAGATATTAAAGTGAAGCATTTGAAATCTTGTATAAAGTTTCATTTGAACCAAATGTGATTGATATTGAATTAGCCTATTATTATCATTATTCTTTTTACAATTTACGATTTATTAAAACTGTTTCTGCTTGGGGCGCGCTTCAGATTTTTAATTATAAATCCTTTAGTCGGAATACAATTTTTCATTTCATTTAACAGTTTTGTTTTTTGTGTCAGGAATGTTCACTTTGATGTTAACTCACAAATATATTAAAATATGGCTTTTATATTGATTTCATATGTTTTAATTTCTTTTTATGTTTTTTTGCAAGGTAAGATTCATTTATTGAACTGACATCGAAATGAAAAAGGGCAGTCAAGCGAGTGTAGACGACTGAATAATACTCGCCTCGCAAGTTTCAGCTGAAGTAAGAAGACAAAAATCTGCCATACGCGTTATGAGTTTATGTTCAAGACGAGCTGAGAAGAGCTCAACATTAGCTTAAGTTGTAGTCGGACCAACTTTTCACTTTATTCAACGAGACTTTAAACAAATATGAAAAGGGAAAAAACAGAAACTTTGCTATATGCGAGGCAAAACCAACAGACTCCACCTATTACTGTGCCAAAAGTTTTTAATATCTTTTCAGTTGCGGTTTTCACATGATATTTTCTTATTTGGAAGTGATGCACGCATTTCATATGTCTCACTCCGGCTTTTCACATGTTCACGTTGCTGTAATTTGAGCAGAAATAATTTTCATTTACATTGGCAATGTGAATTGGCTTGTGCCTTTGTCAAAGTCAAGGGTTTACTATCAAAGGGATTCTTTAAATGGAGCAACCGACTTGCCGGAAAGTTTGTTCTTTTCAATATTCGTTAATTAGAAACTGCGCAGCCGGCCAAAGGTTAAATGCAATAAAATAATTGCCAAAGTGGACATCCTTTTTGATACCTGAAATTTAATATTGGTCAAATGCGTGCGTAATTGGCAAAGCCAATAATGTTTACTATTTCGGGTATAAATTTAGCCAGCTCGTACCCAGCCCAGCGGTAGCCATAACAATTAGGCCCACTTAACGGCCTTCTGGCCATGGCTACAAATTTGCTTGCGAATGATGTGAGTCGATGAAGGCGCTAGATCGAATTTTTAGCATAACGATAACAGCTGCCGCCTGTCCGCCTGTCCGCCTGCCCCACTTTGCCCGCGTCCGCATTGACGGTTCATCAAATCAGAAAATTAATACATGCCATAAACACGACCTAAACACAACAGCCAGCAGCAAGAAAAAAACATGGAAGATACATTTAGGAAATTGCGTATACGTTGCGTCCACACACAGTCAACAAAGTGCGTCAGATATGATATACCCTGGATGGGAATAGAAAATTGAATTTAAATAAATATAAGCCTCCATTGACACAGAATTCATATGTGAGATGCAGATAACTGAGGAATAGCTGTTCTCTGTATTCCCTGTTTCTACTCCTGATCTAACTAAGGCACCTGCTACTGCTGTTTCTTCTGCTATTCCTGATCTAATCAATGTAGCTTTGGATACGATCTTTTCGTTTTATTTTGGCTCTTTTTTGATATGTCTGTCTGGTTTGAGATACTACTAGATATACGAAATATAATTATTTTTTGCTTTCAACGGATTCATTGTTTTTTTTTTTTTAATTTATTTTATAATCATCTCTAATATCTTAAAATATTTTCAACTTTACTCCACTGTCTTTATTCACACGCTTCCAAGAGACATTCCTCGAGCCATTTTTTATAGGGTATTTCATCTTCGTTATAGCCGTGCTGCTTGCTGCTTCTTTTTCCGCTTCACCAATAATTAAATAATTTTGACATGAAAAATGGTACCGAATTCGGTATAATTTGTAATCCTTAGAGGACGCAGAGGGCTATGAACGAGGCATATGAACGGCCATCTAGAGAAGAATGCGAAAGGTCCGTTCCTCACGTGTTGTCGTGTCTGGGATTAAATTGAATATGCAAAACTAACAAAAAAAAGGGAAAAGGAGGTGGATTAAATTTAAATATGCATTAACAAAATGCCAACAACAGGCTAATCAAATTGCATTGCATAATAATGAGCTGGATTTGGCTTGAAAGGCAACACGAATTTGGGCCCATAGGTAAATAAATTCGGTTCATCGCCTCTGGAAATTAGCTCGGTCAGCGGGCAGCTATTTATTTATTTGAAATTGGAAACTGGCAAATGCCTTTTCACTTCATTCACTCCCGGGCCATCAATTAGGCACGCAAATTCGGCTTTATTTGGGCAAACAAACTAAAAGCTAGTTGAACTGAGTCAATCAAAAGTTGAATTGCTTCTTACAACTCTGATGTAATAATTCAAGCCTGCCCGCCTGTGTGTGTGAGTGAGCGAGTGTGTTAACAGCCGTGGGGCTGTTCAAATGAACTTCACAGTTTCAACTTAGATTTGTATTAATTACCATCATAAATTTCAATTGCCTAATGGACATTATATTGTTAGGTTAATTGATTGATTGACTCGCCGTACTCACGCTCATTTGCTCTGGTAATGAGTTCATATGTTGCCCTGGCCACTAAACTGGATTTGTCTTATGCACGTAATTTGAGCGCATCGCACTCTGTGAGTTCCCTTTTGGTATATTTATTGGGATACTATTACCTGAGCTAGTGTTGCCTATAGATATTAGCAAAACTGAAGAGTCGAGTGCTATTAAAAATTATATATTATCGATATATATCGATATATATACTTCAAATAGAATTGAATTGCTTGAAGCTTACATTTTAGAAGATATCAAGTTTGTAGCTGCCTGCTTTATGTCATATTTTGTGCCAGAGATACAATCGATATTTATCGATAGTTAATGGTAAATACTTTGTATCAAAAAGATCAGATTGATAGATGCACAGTCTTAAGCTGCCATATCTTCTATCTATCATTTGTTTTAAAATCGATATTAATCGATCATATATAAATATACACAGATGTTAAATATATCCATATTGATAGATTCATAGTACATAGTAGTGATATTGTATCTATATTTGATGTCTTCTAACAATGGCTGCAAATGCTGTTAAATAATCGATATTTATCGATATTGCATTCATTCATATTCTTAGCTGCTACTATTATCTCATTACCATAGATAAGCTGTTGCTTAGGCATACAAATATAGCCAGGTTGAAGGTCCGCCATTGGAAGACTCTAATGATAACTTTTATCTACTTTTTATTGTATCATCTGCTATTCGCTTATAAACTGGAGTGTATAAGAGGCTGGCGGCTAAGCTAATTTTATTGACCAAAAGTATTTATGTTGTCGTGTCTTGCCTTGGCTTGTCTTTCTTTCTGTTCGGCAACACAAACGCAAAAGTGAAGCACAGCAAAATTTTCTTTTAAATTATTGATAAGAGTTCTGGAGAAAAAGCAGAGTGCCCGCGCGCCCACTTTGTAATTGACAATTAATTTAATGGAACTTAAAGCGTTTAGAGCCGGCTTGGAGCAGAAGAGTTGGCAAAACGTTTAAGGCTAACGCAAAATTTGGATGCGGGTTATTTGATGCCTTCGCTGCGGCTCGTCGCATTTGCCGTTTGCCATTTCTGCTCCAAATGTGAGCTGACCCAATTGAGAAGGGACGCATTGCCATTGCCCCTGGGGGCTCGTATCTGTGCCTGGGTCGGTGCCCCACGTGCTGAGTACAGCTGCAGCCGTTACCGCAGCCGCGGCCGCAGTCGCAGCCGCAGCCGCAGTCGCAGTCGCAGTCGCAGCCGCGTCCGTAGCACAACTTTAACATAATTGGCTTTATTTAACATTAGCTAATTTGTGTTCCCTTTTTGCCTTTAAAGTATATAGAAATTTCTTCTAATTTCCAGCAGAGAATGCGTCGTAGTCCAGCAGCTTTAGCTGCTACTCAGTTGACTTAAGTGTTGCAACGCTTGCTCCCGTTTTGTTGCAACATTTCCGTTGTTGCTTGCTGCTAGTTGGCAGTTAGTTTAGTTGTTCCTGTGGTTGTCTTGACACTGATTTCAATTATAAATTGTTTTTCTTCTCGCTCGCTTTTTGTCGCTTATCCCGTACCTATTCCCATTCATATAGCCATAGCCATGGCCATAGCCTTATTCCCATTCCCGTTAGCGTTCGCAGTTTGCTC